GTGTGTGTGTGTTTGATTGGAAGTCGGTGAAGTCTCCGCAGGTCAGCGAGTCTGAAGGCGCTGACTGTGATATTGGATGACCTTGAGGCAACTGGCCTTGAAAAAGGACGCCGGACAAAGCAATATTGGGAGGCGGCAACAAACCCATACGCAAAGTTGGTTTACTCCAAAAAACGGTACCAACAACAACATTCCAACATTTTTTTAAGTTCAACACACATTCAGTCTGCTAAAAAGCATAAATACTCTCTATCTGAACAGCAGCTTAAAAGTCCTTATGTCTTACTAATTTACTTATTACGGCTGCGATCATACCTGATCTAGCCGGCCCCAATTATGTCCTAGATCGTACCTCTTCATGTGTGACGATCCGTGGCCGCAGACGAGGATATTTCCAATCCATTGTGAATAGGAAGGCTGTCGACTGGTGGTGTAATCTGTTCCTTCTCAGGGCTGAGTCCGACTCAATGGCTCTTTGTTAATGCGGTCTCTATTACAGTCTGAAACATGACGTCTGTGCCGCTTTTCTGTAAGCCGGGTACATGCTGCGTGGACCGGGTCGTGGCACGCAGAGACAAGCTGTCTAGCCTTGTTGACCGCTGTGCAGGAGCCTGCCTCCATACTTCTTTTCATTGTCTTGTCATCGAAATGAACTGGGTGAGAAAGGAGCAAGTGTGGTAAACGTTGCATCTGTCTGTCTCACTATAAACTAATTAACATGTCGCTCAGCGTCCTGCACTCACTCCGCGTGACTTATAGTGGACTTCGAATTTCGCCACGCGCGAAGAAAAATGACTCATGCAGCCCGCGGTTCACCTGATTGTCAATGCTGAACGTGAAGGTGTAACCGGATCATATTGAATGTGCCATGACTCCATAGTAGGCGTCAGTCCTCCTCGCACCAGATGTTTAGCTATCAGCTAACAAGGCAAAAATCACGAGATCAGCAGGATTTATTGACGTCATATAATTCCGCGACCTGTTATTCAAATGCAAACGGTCGTTGACTATTAATAAGACAAGTAACTTTCCAATTAAGTGTCAGCCTCGAAGGGTGAAAATTGATAGATAAAGAGAGTTGAAGCTTTTAGCTTTAGATGTGGGCGCATAGTTAGGGGGTAGAGAAGAGGGAGAGGAGGCAGTTGTCGCAGCATGGCAGTTCATGTTATTTTATGGTCAAGGAAGCCTGTAGGCGGAAAATAAACATAATATACCCAAGAGTTCAATCATGAAGCACCTAGTGGACAGTGGCCATACGGTTGACCAAAAGACTGCATTTAAAGTCATACTTCGGGTGACGACCGGGCGTCTCCTACGATTTGCGGAGGCCGCTGCAATATGGAGACGAAAACCAGAACTCTGC